TTCATTACTAGTCGATCATTATATACCATTCGATAGCGCTTTTCAAGGACTACATTTACTACTGTTCGAATTCAAAAAAGCTCACTTGTCGATTTTTGCTCAAATTTCCGCCTGAATGCCCACTGTGCACCCAGGATGAATCACCTGGGCGTTCTCAATCAAGTGCAGGAAGGGAAGAAAATTTGTAAATACTAATACTATAAGTGTTTTTGATTCACCCGAACCAACAATACTTATAACTGTGACTCATCTGTGACTTTTACCTCTCTCGCGACATGATAAAGTGTCGCAGCGCGTCCCCTGTGCAAAGCCTATTTATTGTTTTGTTTTGCTTACGCCCCCGGTATATAACTCTTACTGACTTTTTCAAAAATTTTCAAAATCTTATCACATCTTAATAATAGCTTACGACATGACTAATAAAGTCTTGCGTAGTCGCGTTGTGCGTACGCCATTCGTCTGCGTTCTTGGTAAAAATAGCGTGGCTCATTTCAAAATTTTGAAAATTTGAAAAACATTTTTCTGCAATTGACACTATGATTAGTAGATCAAAATCGAGGTCAGCTTTCCGCTAACGACAATAACCGACGGCTGTAACATGCCCAATTCCATTGTTTACATGGAATCGTATCACGGCCGGTTTATGTCTGCAGTATTTTGACGTAATGCAACGTTTACGATCGTTTACTGGCTGTGTGAACTCACTAGAGTTTTCAAAATTTTGCTCTACTCTGAATGACAGTAAATGACTACCGTAACTATGCTGTACTTTCTCGTTTACACGAGACCGTATTACGGTCCGTTTACAGCAGCCGTATTTTGACATAATTTAACGTTTTCGACCGCTTACCACCCATGATGAATCACCTGGGCGCGTCTCCATCAAGTGCAGGAAAGGGAAAAAGATTTGCAAATACTAATACTATAATTCTTTTTGATTCACCCGAATCAACTATACTTATAACTGTGACTCAACTGTGACTTATACCTGTAACACTGTACAATGTAATATCGACAAAATAAAAAGATATAATGGATTCGCCTATTTCTGCTTGTTGTGTTCTGTTTCATTTTCTTTTTGTACACCATACCATACTTATCGAATAAAGCTTTTAACAACTGTAACTCAGTTGACTAATTCATTTATTATAGATAAAACATAAATTAATGAAAATTTTCGAGAATTCGTTTTTAGTATTATTAATTTAGTTCTTTTTTCTAAAATTATGGCCGAAGATAATGGTCAATATGAAAAGAATAGATCGATCCATCCAACGATAAAACGATAACATCACAAAACTATTGTAGATGGATATATTTTTATTTTATGGACAAAGGCAGCACCGCGCAGTTTTACGATGTAAACGTTATTTCATTCATTTTAAATGGAGTATAATCTTGTCGGTTGGATTATTATGTACATTAGCTTTTTATTACGTGAAAGCGAATAATAGTCAAATTGATAAAAATAAATTTTTTCAAGAGAATGATGTGATTTATCCACTATATTCATCCACTAATGAAAATTCAAATATCTTATATTATTTTACTCGAAAAGATCGAATGAGGAAGCCGGAAGAGGATCTTGCAATAGATAAGAAACAAAAAACTATCTTGTTTAATACCTTTATAAATGAACAGAATGGTAATTATATCATTCTGGAATATACAACTGTTTTTCGCAAACCTAAATTTTGTTCAAAAAGTCAACTGGATATTTTTGGAAAAACTTGTCCGTATAACAATTGTTTCTATACATGTAATCATTCTTTAGCTAATCAATCTAATGTATTATTATTCCATAAACGTGATATTCAAATTGATAAATTACCAACAGTGCGTAATCCAAATCAAATATGGTTGCTTTGGAATGATGAAGCAAATGAAAAGGCATTAGAGCTTAATAAAGTATTATTTAATTGGACAATAACTTATCGATTTAGCGCTGAAGCTTCTCTAAGTGCATACGGTATTACACTGTTAAAACCACAACCACTAACAGATGATAAATTCAACAGTTGGATTAATTCTAATTTTATAAATAGACGAAATTTAGCAATCTGGTAAGTTTAATTTCAATTTTGAATTTCAATTATGATTTCCTCTTTACCATATTGTATATGTTATGAAGCATGTTCTAGTTGTAGAATTACAAGAGAATCTCTAATGAGATTGAAATTAAGTAGAGCATAGTTTAAACAGTTACAGTGGTATGTAAGGCATAGTTGGCTAGATAAATTGAATAATTCTGTTGCTCCTCTGATTCTCTATGCGTCAGACGCTTGTAACTTACGGGTTCGTGGTAAGCGAGAGATATTGTACTATTTAAGACATTTTCAACGAGGCCCCCGAGTATACCAGTCAAGCGCGAAAAATAGATTTTGGTAAAAGTTACATCATTCTATTCAGCATGAAAAACTGGGGTGGGTGACGAAATGTTTTTTACACTTATGAGTCCTTTTTCCTGGGAGAAAATCAAGTTTTCCCAACACCTAGGCTCACAAAACTGACCAATTTCAGCTTTTTATGTATAAAACCGTCAGTTTTCGTTCAATTTCTTTGAGTGACATATCATTCGAAAGAGCGTAGAAACTGAGCAAAACCTCATATTTGGCAAACTTAAAATTAAAACAATAGTCAGAAAAAA